TGTCCCGCGGGGGGGGGGGGGGGGGGGGGAATCACATTGAAAACAAAAATTGCATAAATGATTTATCAGCCTTGCAATTGCGTCATTCATATTAAGGTAGCGCCACAGAAGAATGGTTTCTCAAACATCCCTACTATTAAAATCTGATTACAAAAGTTAGCTTGAATCAAAGTATCATTATTGTATTTTATCTCCAGTCTTAAAAACTGCTCTTTCAGAAACCACTTGGTAAACGCTGTTGCACTCTAAAGTTTGAGTCAGACAGAAAGTACAGTTAGAAGTGGGTCTCTCTGGAATGTAGTACTACTAAACACAGATACGGTAGCAGTGGCATCCGGTGTGTATTTAACTCATAAACCCTCCCTCCTTTGTAAATGCACCTTTTAATTGGCATACAGCTAAAGACCCTGCTGTGATTTACATGCCTAATTACATTTGTTCACACTGCTGGAATCAAATGGAGAAGTGCAAAAAATATTGATGTACCAGTTGGGTTCCCAACATGATATAAATACTTGAAAGAATAGGGGCTGGAAGTCATAAAATTTCACAAAACTTTCCAAGCTCCTTGTTCTAACCTTTTTAACTATTGCGCAATCTAATAAACGGGCCAGATGTTTTCTATCCTGTAATACATTTACAATGTTTTTTTGTTTTGCAAAGCAAAACCAACAATGTCTACTGAAATATATACTTGACACAATTTTGGCAAAAGCAAAGTTTATTCCAATGCATTCACTTATAAATAATGCAAAAGCCCATATCCCACATAAATTATTGCAAGGGTTTCTGTGAAAAATCGAGGCTTACTCTTTGCTCTGAGAAAATACAAAATAAAAACAGTGCTACAGTCTGTTGTGAATGAACCTGTAAGTTGAAACACATTGCTCAGCAGCGCTGTGTGTTGTTAAACTTCTGAAATTCACAGGCAAAGTTCCCTCTCAGTGTTTGTTTTATCTTCAGTCCAATGTAAATTAATTTACCGGTTACATTTGATATTTTACATGGTACACGGAACACTATTTACACTACACTCTCAGAAAAAAAGGTGTAGCTGTCACTGTGGTGGTACCCATAAGGTATAAAAGCTAGAAGATACATCTTTGTACCTTATTTACTCCTAAATGCTACCTATTAGTCCCTTAAATGTATATTAATACCCAAATAGTTGTATATATTAGTACATTTTGAAAGGGTACCACCCCAGTGACAATTGTAATTTTTCTTTTGAGAGTGTACAACGAGCAATTAATATTAGAATATTATTATGTATTTATATATAAAACCTGCAAAAATAGGGCACAATGTACTGTATTAATATGTAGCTGTAGGAATATTTCCTTTTTTAACAACATATGTTGCGTTTTACTTCTGTTGTGTTTCAGACTTCATGGAAATGTCCATAAAAATGAATGGATTCTTCTTCTTCTTCTTCCTCTTCTTATTTTACAGTTTAGCCAATCACAGCAATGGACTTTTTGCCTGTGTTCCTCAGTAAGAAAACAATGTCCTCAAGGGAGGCAAAAGAGATGACGTCTCCCTCTGAAACAGTGTTATTTTAGAGTGGTTTATACATTATTTGATCTTTTATTTTATAATATTTGTTTTATTTTTGTATTGTTGATTATTTTCCCTCTATATCCTTCTCGGAAACAACAATCCTGTTCTTCTGCTACATCTTCTGATGCTCACAGGCATAATGACAAGTGACGGACACTGTTTTCCCCCATGTGATCAGGAATTGAAATTGCTGCCTGTCTTAGACTCAATCAATAGTAATATCTCTTATTCCTTCACCTACAGCTACAACATTATCAGAGGACAAAAGACTCTCAAACTGGACCTCCTTTAGTTTCTACTGCATTAACCAGCTAATGAAGCAAATAATGCTTGTCTTATTTGTTCTACGTCTTATTTGTTCTCTCTCTCTCTTACGGTATTAGTTGTAATCTCAGAGCACATTGTGCTTTTCCTTTTTGTTTCAGTGTAATGAGATTTTTTCCTCCTAATTTTAAACAGACTTTTCTCCATCTTCTTTATTGGTCAAATGAAGTACTCATCCTGCTAATGTGTTTAAGCCAAAAGAGGAGGGCTGTTTTGTTTTTTATTTCTTTTGGGAGCTGTTGGTAACTGAATGTATCTTAGAGATGCAAGTACTTACCAAACAGTTGTTTTTCATGGCAAAAGCGAGACAAGATAGACCAAGATAGAAAGGTTGTAGCGGCAAGTTTTGCCTTTCAGGTGAGGACAGTATAACTGCTATAATTTACTGCTCACTTGAAGTTTAGAAAAGGCTGTCTAGGATCGTTTGGGCAGAAAGTGCTCTGGCATCAAGATAAAGCACATTTCAGTTCTCGCTAGGACTCCTCTATTATACCTGAGCAGACCATTCACTGCTCAAATTACAGCCTGTCTGCCTTCGAAGGGTTAGAAAGGTCCTTTTAGATTATCTATTCTCTGAGAAACCCCCAAAATGAGCACTGCTAACAGTTATTTCATAAAAAAAAGATGCTTAAAATACTGTAATTTGGTCAGTTTTTGTGATAATGAATTTCGATCAAGTGCTCTTCAGGCAAATGGGTAATTAATATATTTTTAACAATACTTTTGGTTGCTATAGACAGCACTAAAACAGAGGCTGCATTCATCTTAGAATTCAATGTGTACAGGAATTAAATGGAGCAGTAGTTTGTAATTATTTTTAATTTCTAGAACATGTACTGTATGTCTATTCGCTTTACTCTTGTGCTTGATGGACCTTTGTTGGACAGCATACTGTATTTAACACGAATACAAATGAGGCTGTGAAGGACAGATGTAAATTCTGACGTAAAGTGACGTAAATTTACCTCAAAATATCTAGCAGCAGTACATCCTATTGAACAGACTGTACACACTGCATGTTTATCCCTAATAGGGTCAAATGGTTCTTGTTTATCTAACAGTAAGAATAAATTCCGTAATCTGATGGCACAGAGGCCAGGTTTTCAAACTTTTTGAAGTTGTTTTGCGAATAAAGATTAAAATCTGCTTTCATTGCACATGGAGCGCCTGAAGCTATGCCTCTCAATTGGCAAATGATGGAGTCACCCTGTACTTGAGAATGAAAGAGCTCTCCTGATGCTGGCTTGAAGGACAAAGAGCTGAGCCACTTTGAGGCTAATGATTGACACTGACAAACAAAAGAGCCCTGCACCTTTTACCAAGAAAGCAATTGAAATGGTCCAATCGCTACTGAATTTCAGACTTATCGATGTTGAGGGCCATTACTGGGCCTTATTACGTTAGATTCATCTTCGAGCAGCGAGGGGGGCATTTTCAGATTTATTGATTCACCCCAGAGAGAAACATTTCTCCTCATATATTGAATATAGTAAACTTATAGTTTAA